ACCAAATCGGCCACCATACCAGCTGCTTTGTTGCCGGCGGGCCATTCACTAGCTGGCCACTCTGTTGCTCCGGCAGGCCGTCAATCTGGATGACCACATCCCAAATCCAAAAATTCACGTACACTAGAAGCTATACATGTGCTTCCCCCCAATCCTTTTTACATATCTAACACCTAAATTACTTGAACTAACAAATTCACAAGCGAGAAAGGAATAGAACCACCAATTTAAGCAGAAGAAAGTCCAAAGTACCCCTTTTTGACCCTCGTTGTAACAAGGATGTATATGTAATTTTCCTCTCCCCTTCTTATTTTCTCTAGAGGACCTCTTTGGCATGTAAAGGGGCTTTCTCGCTCCTAACGTAGACTTAACTTTTTTTTCTCACTTGTAACATAGGCTTCTGTGAAATAAAAGAAGCCGTCGAGCCAAGGTCCACCCCTTTTTGATCCCCGATGGGGCATCCCTCTCTCTCTTTCTCTCCCACTTTTTCTCCACTGGTGAGACTCCTGTTTTATCCTTTGGGCACGACATGCCGTACAGATTTGAATTCAACATTAATAAAAGTGTTTATAACTAAATTATCAAAGGGAAAAAAGATGTCCAAAAAATGAAAAATTGGGTAAGAAGGTCCTAAACAACTGAAAAAAATAAATCTTTTTCCTCCAACTGTGGATTTTTCCTCCAAAAGCCTATTTTCTCCAATCATCCTCCAACGACCACTTGCTCCTCTAACTGGCCACCTCTTCCTCTGATCGAACACTGAAACCCGAAGACCCTACAGACAGAAAAATTCCAGAATGTCAGATCCAACGGTTCAAGAGGTACAGAGCAATATATACCATCACAAAAGACTAAACTATTTTGTACAACCCCTTTTAAAGAAAGGTAATATTGTAATTTAAGAGCTGGTCATCCTATTATTTATAAATTGGAGGGTTTTTTCATGTAAAATGAGGTTTTTTTATCCCCACTTGTAACTTATTTTTCTTATGGAATAAAATGGATTCAAAAGCCACGAACACCACATTAGCAACGATAACATGAATCTTCAGTTTTTCCTCAATTGCTCTGTATCTCTCCATCTCTTGGGTTGAATTCAACTTTATTGTTAGAATTATCAAAGTTATTTATTTTCATTTAAATATTTTAGCATATGTCTACTATTTAAATAGACAAATAATAATATCATTAGTACCATGACATGTACTCATTATTAAGAATATTTTTGTTTATATATTTTTCTTTGTTGCTTTATTCTATTGCCTATGTATAAGCACTCTCATATCAGCATATTATTCAATTTAATAATTTCTTTTATAATTCTAGTTTTTTCTAGCATGATGTGAAAACTAAGCTTAATAGTATTTTAGTATGATTAGCTTAGTTTGATAATGTATGAATCAAAGTATTGTTAAATAATAATAATAATAATAATGTTAGGTATGACTCATATATCATAAATGAGACATATGTTGGAGTGGAGTGGAGCGGAGCCCACGAGCGGAGTGGAGTGGAAGGATCTGTCCAATCGGGGGAGTTTCATTATGTGGGTTAGGAGTGCGGGGGCAACACCCCGCGGTTTGGTACAGAGGTAATTTAAGTAATTACATATTGTACTATAGAGTTATATATGTCTTGTTTGTAACTCTAGAGGAGTCTTTGAGATTCTGAGAATTCTGAATCTGTTATTCTGTACTCTTTTCTGAATATTGAAAAGGAAGTCGTAGGTCTGCTCCCGAAGATGTAGGCATCTTTGCCGAACCTCGTAAATTTGTGTTTGTTCTCCTGTATTAGAGAGAGGTTCAAGAGCAGGGAAGAAAAATTTGGGCGGCGTAGGAATAAAGAAGAATTTGACATAGGAGATTGGCAGCTAGGGAAGGATTTCTCCAAGCTTCCCAGCAGTTCGGATGTCGGCGCAGAGGAATTTTGAAGACCAAGCAGGCTTCAACGGTTCAACAACTAGCGATCAGAAATCCGGCTTCACGCGATCGCAGGACGGGGAACATTTTCGCGAAGCAAAAGACCAGGCGATTGGTTCCGCGAAGACGACAGAAGGTTCGAAATCGCTGATCGCGTGTGGTTCGGGGCGAACAAGATGAACGAGGGTTGTGAGACTATCGCAGAGGTGGTTCTCTACCAGACGAGAAGGATTCATGACGAAAGGCTCTATTCAGCGGCGCAAGAGGCAGTCCGACGGCGAGAAGCACAACTGGAAGGGCGGGGTTTTTCAGAACAAATTACTGACAACTTTTTTTTAATAAATGACAATTTTGTCCATATTTGAGGAAAATAATAGATAGAACAGAAGTCTCAAATTATTACAAATGAGTTACAAAAATTAAAATATATTATTTACTATGATAAAAATTTAAAATTCACTCGAGTGAATTGCTTCCGAAAAGGAGATTAAAGAATTGCTCCCTGTTCTCAACGGCGTTGAGGTGCCGTTGCATATTGCAGGGATTGATGGCCAACAAATTTACCAGCGCATTTGCCCCTACTTTCCAACTACAGCATAGTTGCTGTTACCAAACGGAGCCGGGGACGGGGACGGGGACGGGGACGGGGAAGAGCAGGGAGGGTGGAGATCGAGGACGAGGGCGAGGGAAACGGGACCGGTGAATGTTACCTATGGTGTCGATCTCCGCGAGGATGGAGGAGATAGGGGAGTGAAAGGGCGTGGGCACGTGAAGAATTCTTCATGCAAATGTGCAAAGCAGACGCTGGACATGGCTCCCTCACAGCTTCGCCCCCTATTAACAAAATTTTTGAAGTGCGTCAGAGCGGCATGAATAAGCTAGGCTGAACGTGTTCTTCAAACACCTTGGAGCGTTTCCATACCGCCACCACACCTCTATAAACTGCCCCAAACAAGCACTTAATTAAGGAAATATTGCAATCCTTTATTTTTTTGAAAGATTTTATTGTTTTTCTGAGAAACTTAATTAAGGGAATATTTCAATCTTTTTTCAGAAAGATGTTGTTGCTTTTCTGGGACACTTAATAATTAAGAGAATCTTCATAAAAGGATTATTTAAAATGGTTTGTGACCCAACCCACACTCGTGCATAAGAAACTCCATTATGTATTTTCTCTTAAGGGATTGGATATTCCCCAAGGTGGAGATTTGACATATGTATTTCTCCTAAGGAGTTGGGTATATGTATTTCTCCTAAAGGGCTAGATATTCGCCAAGGTGAAGATTTGTTAGGTATGTCTCACATACTATAAATGAGACAGATGTTGGAGTGCAGCGGAGCCCACAAGCAGAGTGGAGCTGAACGATCTGTCTAATCGTTGGAGTTTCATTATGTGGGTTGAGGGTGAGAGGGCAACACCCTGCGGTTTGGTACAGGGGTAATTTAGGTAATTACATATTGTACTGTAGGGTTATATTTATGTCTTGTTTGTAACCCTAGGGGAGTCTCTGAGATTTTGAGAATTCTGAATCGAGTATTCTGTACTCTTTTCTGAATATTGAATAAAAAGTCGCCGCTCAGCTCTCGAGGATGTAGGCATCTTTGCCGAACCTCGTAAATTTCTGTGTATTCTTTTGAATTTGTGTCGAGTCTTATTTTTCTTTGCCCTAATTTCTCAACAAATAATAATAATAGTTAATTTAAAATAACTATTATTTTTACCTTAAATAATATATGCCAAGACGAAAGCCAAATAATATTTTGCTAAAATTTATAAATTTTGACCTATGAAATAAGTAATATTTTATTTTATATTTATATCGCCTCTTTATTTATACAAATTTATTAATTTAAGAACTAATAAAATTAATATGAGTTTAATTTTATCAGTTT